ATGAAGTAAAAATACCTGGTAAGTCATGTTATTTTTCAGGTAGGTTTTGCCGAGTGAAGTAAGAATCGAGATACGAAATTTTTGTCACACACACACACAATCTTGATTTACTGTTAAAAAACCAGTTTTTCGCACTTATAAGCTTGTAACTCAGTTGACCATATACCGAGTTAAGACCTTTCGAATTAATGAATTAAGAGATCTGTGTGTATTTTCTGTGTTAATTTTTTTCGTATATTTTTAAATTTGGCAAAGTTTTCACGCACTATTTTATAAAGAAACTATATTACTCCTGAATTGATGCAAAATTAACATTTAATATATAGTGATTTTTACTTTAAAAAATGGGGGTAAAGTTATTCAACCTTTCATAAGAAAAAGAATATTTTTGGCTATACAACTCGAAAATTTTTGCTTAACCTTTTTTTTAATTCAGCTTTCACCGATTTCTCCTTGTAGTGAACGCAATATTCTGAAATAATTTGTCATGAGAATTTGAATATCTCATTTAATTTTTAGCCGACTTTGTAAAAATAAACATCAGTTTTACTCGATATTAAACATACTTTTCTCTTGAATTTTTTAAACGTGTATAGATATAAACATAGACCCATCATTCGAAAGGTCTAAACTCGGTTGCGAAGCAACTCATTTAACTCATTAACAAGCTTATAAGGACACAAACGTTTGTGTAGCTATCATACCGCAAATGGTATTGCGTGTCGCATCGCATGTCGCATCGCGTATCGCATCGCTCTAATGTGCACTGCGCGCATTTCATATCGCATCGCGTATCGTATCGCATATCGCATCGCGTATCGTATCGCATATCGCATATCGCATCGCATATCGTATCGCTCTAATGTGCACCGTGCCTTAGACTATAAGTGTTAAGCTAAGTGTACACGGAGACTTGTAAACACTCAATAAAGCTCTAGGAGAGACTCACCTACACTGTTACGTGAGAGTTATTTAGCGAGAGTTTTTCGCCGTGTTCACAGTCCATTGCAACTAGATCGAAAATTCTACGCCAGCTTTACGCTCTATTTGGCAAGTTAAATAGAGCTTTTGCTCTACGGAGACGTATGGTAAAGTCTTGCAAAAGAACTTCAAATGGCTATGACATTAAAACGTGCTAAATTAAGTTGGCGTAAAGAAAAAATTTGAGCGAGTCAAGATCTGATTTGTGGGATGTTAAAATTCGGCAAGTATGAATTTTAAACCACATCAGCGAACAGGTGGATGCTGTCAAATCGACGTAGGGTTGGCGGTCCGTGGATGGCGTCAGCTTTATTTTCTACATCGTGACTTTGATATACATATGTAAAATGTAGGTTGCCCCATCGAAAATGTTTTACTTTGGAAATTTCATGACCCTATCCCCTTAATTTATTCGTTTTTGAGAAATATTATTGCCTGTTTTTATAAATTTTTTAAAGGTCATTTAGAGGTCGCGACCTGTCGATTTACGTCAGAAAACATGGTTTTGTAGGTTTACGAGTTTTTGGATGACTATTTTTGACTCGACTTCAAAGATCGAATATGATCTGAGAATAGGATATACATGCCTTTAAAATAGTTTATAATAACACTGTACGGCAATATCAACTTTTTATCTGGGTATTGGACCAAAACAATTTTTTTTAAGAGATTAAATCATAGGTGCAAAAGTGATTTCTCCGTTTTTCGAAGTTAGCCTCCTCCGAAATCGAGATATGGGCCATTCAAGTTCGAAATAGGACCTTTGGTAAAAAATTATATTTAATTATTGCATGTAAATAACCAAAAACCTAAAGATACAGGCGTAGTCCTCCTTTTGCTCTTATATAAATGGTATATAACTTTTTTGTGCAAACTTATATTACAGGTGCTATAAGGGGTCAAATTTCAGGTCTTCGAAAAAAAAATTCCTTATATTTCAAACAATTTTTATTTATAACGTTGTAAAGGTGATTAAACCCCCTTTCTCCCGATATGCATATTTGTATACTTCGTTTATAAAAATTTTAGAAAAAAACACATTTAAATGAAAAAATACATTACGTTACAATACATAAAAAAAAAATTTCAAACAAAAAAATTACTAACCGCTTTTTAGATGGTTGATATTGTTGTAAACGCGATCAAACCCCCTTTCTTGTGATATGCATATTTGCATACTTCTATACATAGTATAAAGGAAAGTCGAGATTTTTTGTACGCGGTAATCTCGAAAACTACTGAACGGATTTTGAGGAGTTTTTCTGTAATATACTCTGTATCGATAGTAGAGGGATCTTTTTACTTAGAATTTTAATAGGGTTACCACCTGTCTAAAAAACTATAAGATCCGCACCGTTCATTGGATTACAAAAGATGAGGTGTCAATTGAAAGGGATTGGCCTCTAGAAAAGCACTAATATTTTTTTTTTTATAGGGTTGCCACCTGTTAATAAAATTACCATATTCAATCATAATAAGCGTAGGCATCAGTTCTGTACCGTCACTGTCAAACGAAAAGACTTAGCCTCTGGATGTGTAATAATGTATTATTTTTCTGAGTAGGATTGCCACCTGTTTGAAAACTAAAGGTCTTTACCATTCGTTGGATAAAAAAAATAAGATACCAAATGAAAGTGCATGGCCTTCGCATGTACAAAAACTTAAAGTTTTATAGTAGGGTTGCCACCTATTTAAAATTACTATCTTCTATACATAGTGTAAGGGAAAGGCGAGATATTTTAACCACGCTACTGAACGGATTTAGACAAAACACAGACAATATTTTTTATGTATACAATAAACGAAGTACATGATGACATATGATTTCTTTCTCCAAATACGTAAATTTGCATACATATGCATACATTCAGCGCGTGGCAAAGCCTCGCGCATCCGTGGCCGGCTAACCGTATATAAAAATAATAAAAAAAAACACATTTACAGAAAAAAATACCTTTATTTTATAAAAAAACATATTCTAAACAAAAAAAAATACAAACCGATTTTTAAAAAATGAGTATCGTTGTAAAGGCGGTTAAACCCCTTTCTTCCGAAATGCATATTTATAAACTTCGTTTATAAAAATTTATGAAAAACCACATTTAAAGGAAAAAAAAAATTGTTTACGAACCGATTTTGAAAAAATTGGTACCGTTGCAAAGGGAATTAGACCCCCTTTCTTCTGATATGCATATTTGTATACTTTTTATATAAAAATTGGAGAAAGACACTTAAAAGGAAAAAATATCAATTTTTTCGTATAAAAAATATTTTAAACAAAAAAATTACTAATTAGTAACACAATTGAATACTTTGTTTAAATAAAGCAGAAAATTACCTTTAAGTTTTATATACATACATATAACCTGTAATGTAAAAAACCAAAAACCATGGTGTTTTTATATTTTTGTATGCCTTAGACTTCTGTTACATATACTTTTGCTTTATTTTAACAGGGCTGTGGGGGACAAGGAAGATTTAACGCTTAAAACACTATTAATTATTTATTTTGTTTATATACGTTATTTAATTAGATTACAATTTAGTATTTTTTTTGTAATTTTTTTTATAATAAAAAGTTCGAATTTTTCCTTTTAAGTGTTTTTTCTCAAATTGTAATATACGAAGTATAAAAATATGCACATTAGACGAAAGGGGGTTTAATCGCCTTGGCAACGATGTTAATTCTTAAAAATTCGGTGAGTAATTTTTTTGTTTAAAATATTTTTTGATAAGAAAAAAGATGATTTTTCCTTTTAAGTGTTTTTTCTCAAATTTTTATTCACGAAGTATACAAGTATGCATATCAAAGTAAAGGGGGTTTAATCGCATTTACAACTATACCAATTTGTTGAGAATCGGTTACTAATTTTTTCGTTTAAAATATTTTTTTATACAAAAAAATGTATTTTTTCTTTTAAATGTGTTTTTTCTCAAAGTTTTATATACGAAGTAAACAAATGTGCATTGCACAAGAAAGGGGGTTAAATCACCTTTACAACGATATGAATATTTTAAAAATCAGTTCAAAATTTTCTGAAATATTAAGTTTTAAATTTTTCGAGGGTCTGACTTTTGACTCGTTATAGCAATAATATAAGCTTTCACAAAAAAAGTTATATACCATATAAATAAGAGCAAATGGCAGACCACGTCTGTATTTTTACTTTTTTGCTTTTTACATGCAATAATTAAAAATACTTTTTTAACAAAGGTCCAACTTCGAACTTCGAAAGCCCATATCTCGATATTGAAGGCTAACTTCGAAAAACGGAGAAATTAATTTTTTTACTTATGAATCAATCTCTTAAAAAAGTTGGTTTGGTCCAATACCCAGCCGAGTGCTCTACAGTGTAATCTTGTCTTGTTCGGATTTTTTATCGGTTAAAATAAAAAAAAAAACTCATATTTCTCTTAATTTTTTTTTTTAATTTTAACCATCGATAATTTCCACTGTTTCAAAATATGTAGTACTGTCTAAAATTAAATTTTTTTCTAAATAAACTGATAGCTCATTTATTGCAATCGCATAAAAATGGTCGAAGTAAGTCGACTTTTCTGAAATACGGCCTTGAATTAATATTGTGTATGTACCGGACTTTCAGATTTTTTGAGCAGTGTGGCTAAGGAATTCTTCAATATTTATTCAAAATTGATATATACAATCGCTCTTCAGCAAAAAATTTGGTTTTCCAAAAATTTTAGGAAAATGGGGGTGACACCGCCCACTTATAACATATACATACGTGAATCTCAAAAACTACTTAACCGATCTCAACGAAATTTGGCATACACATTGTGATGGTCAAAATTTAAAAAATTAATAGAATTAGGGTTTTATTTTTTTTATTTTACCCGATAAAAAATCCCAACAGGCCAAGTCCGAAAATAGATTATTATCAGGGCTGTTGTAGAATCTGACCTTTATCGTAATCGGAATTGAAACCGATGAAAAATTCCCATTGGTGTCTTGCATTCCGATATTATCGGTTTTATGTTCGAATCGGAAATAAAGTCGGTTTTTTGTGTCATAGGAACCAATTTTATCGGTTTGCTTATCGGAAACAAACCAAGCAGTACATCGCTGTCAGAATTGTATTTTCGTTTTGTTATTTCGCATTCTGCAGGTTCTTATTTTGCTTTATGTGAGTATATTAATCAATAATTCATAGAAACATTAATTTTAAATTTTAATATTAGGGGAAAACACAAGAATAGCGTTCAAAATTCCATAATCGTGGAGTTTATGGAAAATAACCCCGACATCGCTAAGGGCTACACAAAACGAGATAAGGCACTCGTTAACGCTCTTTGGCAAGAACTGTCAAATTCTTTAAATAGCGCAGGCCCACCCCAAAAGGACGCTAATGGGTGGAAGAAGGTATATTGCATATTGTAGCCCCAATGAAAGTTCTACTATTTTATTGTTTTTAGGCATGGACTGAATGGAAAAGTGAGATAAGAAAAAAATTATCACATAACAAAAATGAAGCTCGAGCGACTGGTGGTGGGCCCTTCACTAAACATCAACTGACGCAATTGGAAGAATCAATCGTCCGTATATGTGGAATTGAACGTTCAGTTTATGGTGTTACAGGCGTTGCAATTGGTCACGTCGAACCTTCAGATGACCTTATCGAAGAAGTACTCGATGAAACGAACAGCGATATTCCGTCAACGTCATCAAAGCGACAAATGGAGCCTTGGAAGCACTCCAAAAAGGCCAAGAGTGGAGAGCACAGCAGAGAGTTTAAAAAAATTTTTGAAAGAGGACAACGAAATAAAAATGGAAATGAATGAGAAATTGGATGAGCTAATAAAAATTGGCAATGAAAACGCAAAAAGTTTTACACATATTCATCGAGCAGTCGAAGACATGGTAGAATGTTGTACGCAAATATTAACCGTCATGGAAGAAAAGAATCAAATAGAAAAACAGCGACTAGACATCAGCATCAAAAAATTTGATTTCCAAAGACAACTAAATGGTTATAACTAGGGTTGTGTGCTTAATTTTTTAGTTAAAAATTTAATAACTTACCGAATTACTTTTAATTTTTCACTAATCAAAACGGAATATAATCCTTTATCACAAACGAATTTATTCGAATTCGATTGGAGTGTATTCATAGTCAAAATTAAGTTGATGCTTAAAGTTAGTTGCAGCTTTTTGGCTTAAATTTTAATGGGTTATCGGTCAAAAGAGCTACATCTAACTTTAAATATCTACTTAATTTTGAATATTACTGCGCCCCATTGATAATATTTTCATTATTCAAATACTTTAAATACCTTATTTTGTTTTAAATAGTTCCTTTTCCCAGCTTTTCATATTTTTTGCATTTTAAACATATGTACATATATATGTATGTACCTACAAGCATAGGCAATGGTTCGCAGCCAAAATGATAAACCCGACAAAATGTTTATTTTGTTAATATTCACTAAGTTTTTCTTAGCAGCTGAACTTGCACCTTATTACTACACTTAAATTTAATGCAAGACTGCATACCTGACATATTTCTAAAACATGTGATCAAATTTGCGACTTTTCCATTTTTTGTACAAAGTTTTGAATGTTGGTTATTATGGTTTTTGACGTTGTACTATGTACATAAAAAATTTAGTGAATATTAACCAAATAAACATTTTGTCGGGTTTATCATTTTGGCTGTGAGCTTCTGTACATATCGCACACCGTCTTCAAGAGAGACACAACTCAAAATTACACGTTCGTCAGAAAAGGCGAAAAACTATTTCTTAGCACATGCTAATCATGGGTGTATGAATTAGCCCCCACTGAATTAACCCCCACCGGGCAAAATGACTTAAGCCCCACCAATGTCTCAGTGAATCTTTCCCCACCAAAAATGACAGAATCCCCACGAAAAAAAATGAATTAATCCCCACGAAAATGACTTTAGCCCCACTTTCCGCCATTTTTAATTTCGTTGTAAAATTGGTGGGGCTTAAGTCATTTTGCCCGGTGGGGGTTAATTCAGTGGGGGCTAATTCATACACCCGCTAATCATATGGGCAAGGAGGACTTTACCTTAGGTTTTTTCAACAAATTATAACAAAAATTTGCTACAGCTTTTGCTGAAAGGTAAATAAAAGCTCTGTGTACATTTTTAGTGCATTATTTCGAAAATGCCAAATTTTGAGTTGTGTCACTTTTGAAGATCGTGTGCGATATGTATGTATGTACATATATAGTTTATAATTTGAAAATTTAGCAACGGGGTGTATTATTCAAGTGATGATTGGCTTTATCGCAATCTTGGGTAAATGAATAATTAATTGACTGAAGAATTCATTTTTCCCGAATAAAGACAGCTTATTTATTAGTGATCTCAATTTAAATAATAAGAGTATTTAAACGTTGTAAACCGTACCTTGCGTTCTTAGTATAAGAAAAAATTTAAGAGTTTTTATTGTTTATGTACATATACTCGTACATACATACAATGTACAGCTTTGGTCAAAGATTTAGAACCAAAATTCAAAATAATATTGTTTGGAACTTACGTTTATTTATTTTTTTTTTTAATAATATTCATTTAAAATATAAATAAATCTATAACAAAAACCACATAAATAAAAGTTAATAGGTGTTGAGCATTTGCTTCCATATAAAAGTAGATTTTGTTCAAGCATTATATGGAAGAAAATGCTCAACACTTTTGGCAAAAAAAAATTTAGTTCTTAGGGACTAGAATTTGGCACTTTATAAGACTAATTATAATAAGAATTTAATGGGCTACAAGACTGCGTACCCAAAAATTGTCTAAAAATTCTGATTAAAAAGTTTGTAATTTTTACAATTTTTTTAAGTTTGATTAAATTTTTGTGAAACTTCCGCAAGCGTTTAATCTTTTATTGATGTGCTTTTTGTTATAGATTTATTTACATTTTAAATGAATATTATTAAAAATAAATAATTAAACGTAAGTTCCAAACAATATTATTTTGAATTTTGGTGCTAAATCTTTGACCACAGCTTTATGTATAAACACACGTGACACTTATGTAAGTATATTTGTAACATCTCAGGTACTTTGAAGTTAACATTTGAAATAAACAGATAATTTAGTTTCAATAACCAATTTTTGAAAAATTATTGCAAATTATTGGCTATTTCGTCTCTTATTCTCTTCCCTTCACTTTGTAGCGATGGATTCGATGGTTGTACAACATTGTCCACAGCAGGCTCATTTGGTTGGAGAGAAATTTCCTCGTCAGGATTAATGTTGTAGCTTCTGCAGATATTGTGCAATGCACAGCACACGTTGACAATCTGTATTACTTTTTCCGGGGAATAGTGCAACGTCCCCAATAAACATCGAAAACGGCTTTTTAATACACCTACATATGTACGCATATTGTTAATTTTAATTCAATATCTTGGATTTGTAAATAAACAAACGCACCTATAGTACGCTCCACAATATTTCGAGCTGAAGAGTGCGCCATGTTGAACTTGTACTCTTTAGAGTTGTGCAATGCGTCTCTATATGGTGTCAAAAGGAAGGGCTCAATGCCATATCCACAATCTCCTAAAAGTCTTGATGCTCGATCGCCCGATTCGTACTCCCTAAGGAAACTTTGCCGTGCGTCACTAATATTCCAGATGAATGCATCGTGGCTGGAGCCAGGATACCGAGCATCTACCGCACGTATCTTCATAGCGCTGTCGCATATCTTTAGACGAAAGTAGAAACAAGTTGGGGGAAAACACGTTAAGCAAAATAGTTATTACTTACAATCATAGCATTCATGCTAAAATATCCTTTGCGATTAAAAAATAAATGCTCGTCCACACTAGGCTTTATAATTTTAATGTGTGTCCCATCGATGCAGCCAATGATAGAGGGAATCTTAAATTTGCTGTAGAAATAATTTCTCGATTTAAGCTTCTCATTGCTATCCATTGTAAGCTTCACCCAACGAGGGCAAATTAAACGTTCCATAATTTTCAGCACTTCACTCAGAACTAGTGACACTGTGCTTCTACCTAGGCTTATGCCAGAGTCATTCCCAACCGACCGCTGATAAGAACCTTCTGCTAGAAATCGCAAGACTGCCGCTAGCTTTAGCAATGGTGGAATGCTAGATGCAGGCAAGTGGGGTTTTACGATATCTAGCACCATAATGAATGCGTCTTTGTTCAGGCGATATTGTGCAATGAATCTGTATGATAATTGAGGCGTTACTAAAATTGTCGGGCTTAAAAAGGATATGTACTTACGCTGACTCTGGCAGCTCCAACGGATTGCTGCGGTCTCTTAAAATTTTCCGTTTCACCTTCTCAGAAACTTCTTCCTGCATCAATAAAAAAGCTGCTACTGCTGCGGCCATTGCTTTTTATTTAATTTTCACTTTTATTTAATTTTTTCAACAACTTTGTCAAAATCTTCACAAATGCAAATTGAAAAGAATTGAACTTAGCAAAACAGCTGATTCGAATATGGGTTTTGTGTATGTTCGAAAAGAGCCAAATCCAATTAGATTCTGTGGCACCTTCTAAAATCGGAATTGGTTTGGAATTCCGACAATGGAGCAAATCCGGCTTGGTTTCCACAACAGCCCTGTATATGCCATTTTAAAGGCCTATGTATCCAAAAGTAGTCATTCAAAAACTCATAAATCTACAAATTCGTATTCTTTGACTTAAATCGACAGGTCGCGACCTCTAACTGACCTTTAAAAAATCTATAAAAATAGGCGATAATATTTCTCATAAAAACGAATAAAATTAGGGGGTAGGGTCTTGAAATTTCCAAAAAAAATCATTTTCGATGGGCACCCTAAGGTACATACAAGAAAGGCGGGCCTCCATAGCATACGTATCCGTATGCGTGCGTTTGACATTTACGCTTAGAAATTAAAATTCTTAAAATTTTTTTACATTTCCATCCGTTGCTATGTAGGTGCTTTCATAAAAATTTGTATATTAAATTTTTTCTGTGAAACGCACGCTTACGTATATGCATGCTGTGGGGATCCGCCTTAACTCTAGGGGAAAAGTAACAATCGTCTACCGTATATCGATGACTGAGTGGAAGATCGACCTATCTCGGCAGCCAGTTCGAAATCGCCCTATCTCAGAAAATTTTTGAACAATGCTCTATCTCAGAAAACCTTTCAAGAATGCCCTACTTCAGAATTTGATTGAAAAACGCCCTATCTCGGAATTTAGTTGAAGAGCGCCCTATCTCAGCTACCGAATCAAAATCGCCCTATTTCAGCTTATTTTCAATGTATTTTCATTTGAGATAGCGGGTTTTTGAACCGAATTCTGAGATAGGGCGTTATTCAACCAAATTCTTAGATATAGTGTTTTTCAATAAAATTCCGAAAAAGGGCGTTTTTCAATCAAATTCTGAAGTAGGGCGTTCTTGAAAAGTTTTCTGAGATAGGGCGTTTTTGAACTGGCTGCCGAGATAGGTCGATCTTCCACCAGCCATCGATATACAGCCTGTAGAGTACATGATAGAGAAAAGCTAAGATTTCTCTATTCTAACTCTAGCTGGGTGATTATCTCCTAGAGTTGCTGTACCGAGTAAACTTAATTGAGAGGGGAAATTTTTATATTTTAGTTTAACTCTGGAGAGATTTTTGTGCCGTGTACGCTTAGCTTTATGCTTGCGATGAACGTACGACGACTGAACGCGAATGAGGCACCGGATAAAGATTTTTATTACGAACAGTTGCAATACTTACCAGGATATACGTATATATCTAGTAGATTCCAAATTCCGCGCCAGACATTTACAGCTCCAAAAAACATGAGGAAATAGAACATGTCACATATAACCAATTTTAAAATACCGTCAATTTTTTTGCAAACGCAACGTATAATGGGTTTGATTACGAATGTGATGAATACAGTTATGTAGCCGAGCATCTAAAAAAGAAAG